CCCAGGAAGTTCAGCATTTTCTAAATATGAGTTTAGATCATATTTATTCATTCATTTTTTGGATCTGATCCCTTTTTTTATTGTAAGTTTGTTTTATGCATATGATGGATGTACAATTCCATCACCAAACTTAGAAATTGAGAGCAAATATGTTGGGGGAACACTGGTTTTGGTCTATTCTACAGTTTTTATTGCCTATGTTTACACATATGTGGCCCTTCATATTCGTCGCTGCCTGAAGTGTATAGTATAAAACACAGCGTTTTTCTATCTCAAATTTCTCACGCAAATATCTCTGATCATCATATGTTTTTCAGCTTTTTCAACGACCCCGATATATGGTACGATACTCATTGTCAATCAAGTGCAGGAGGGTTACGTGTGAGATGGTTCCGGAGGTTGGTTACTTTCGGGTATACTTGAACGCTTTCTCTTCAGGACTCGACGCAAGCGTAGCCTGTACATATGCTCAACTACTTGTGAAGCTCTGAATATATACGCTCTACACAAGGACCCCGGACCTCGCCGTCTTTCCGTAAATCCTCGTCCCTTTTTCAGGTAACAGGAATCTTACCATATCCGTTTGGTACGAGTGCAGCTGAAAACACGTTCGAGATCGTTGGAAGTAGCTGACAGGTACATGAGTAAGCTCACAGTCTGTGTTCAATAAATGATTTACATACCAGGAATAGAAAGAAGAGAGCGATGGAGGGCCGTGGGGGACGATAGTGAATGTTGTGAATATACTTAGTATGCGCGAGTCGTTCCAAAGTCGTTCACAGTCCAACGTCTTTGCTGAAGAACACAACTTTATACTTATAAGTAACCCTCCATAGGCAGCAACAAGGTATACACCAAAATATACTCTACAATGCATAATGAAAAAGACGCGCTTAGCGAAGGGTATGGCCCGTATGGTGAGAGTGGGATTCGAACCCACGCCTTGTGAACCAGACGTTGCTGCACAGGTCAGTCTGGCGCCTTGGACCGCTCAACACGCGTCCTTCACAAATTCCTTTCTACTCCCATCCTACACATCCATCAAAACGCAACACCACCCACTCATCGATCATCCTTAAACAACGCCCCCCACCCCCTCCCAAATCCTAAACCGCCTGACTCCCTCACCAACCCACGGCACCTCCTCATCCCAATGCGTAATAACAACCACCGCCTGTCCCTCTCCAACACCACCACCTTGCGTCAAGTACCTCCGCATGGCACAAATCATACCCTCGTCCATCCCACTCCATACCTCGTCGAGGAGCACCAAGGGAGGCCGGGATACCAAGGCACGCATGAGGAGGACGATACGCTGTTCGCCTGGAGACAGGGCCGTGAACCTACGCGCTGCGAATTGTCTTTCCGTCTCGGGTGTTCCTGATGTAGACCAGGCTCGCGGACCAAGTGCTGATAAGACATCCCAGCATCGAGCGATACGCCATTTTTCCACTTCCCTTCTCCTCTGTTCCTTCTCCACGTCACTAAGCTCAAACCCCAGTTCCTCGTCAGCCACACGTATCTCACCCACCCTCTCACTCCCCTTGAGGGGTACGAACCCCCCTCCAAAGCCCGTAACAACGGCTTCCCAAACTGTCATGCCTGGATGACGACGCGGGAAAGCGTCGAACAGTTCCGGGGAGACGACGCCGATGAGTGTGCGGAGGTGGGCTGTTGGTGTACGTTTTCGTGGGTGGAGGGTATGCGTGTGGTAGGGGTGAGTTGTGGAGGAGGAGGACGGAGACGATGATGAGGCAGGGGATAGCGAGGGCAGGTGGAGGTGTGCCTGCGTGTACGATTGTGGGTGGTCGCCTGTTAAGAGGGAGAGGAGTGTTGTTTTGCCTGAGCCTGGAATGGAGGGGGTTAGTTAGGGCGGATGTGAAAGTAGAAAGGAATGTGAATGTATGCGCGAAAAGGAGCGTAATGGATGGGAGAATCAAGTAGACGATGTGAAGTCGAGTTTAACTGATCGGAATTTGTAACGCGTGAAGGCCATTCGAACCAGTAAGCGGAACCAGGCTAGCGAACCAAAACTCCACAGGAAAGTATGTGCCCACCATTCGAGCCCTGTAAATGCCACCTCTCGCCTTCACGAATCTGCCACGTTATATCCTTGAGAACCTATCGGACATCGCATCGTCAGTACTTGGTTGGATCAACTGGAGAAGAGAAAGATAAGAAAACGCGTGGAAAATAAGGAACAGCTGCACGAAGAAACGACAGCACGCGGAAAGAAAAGAAATAGCGCGAAAAGATGGAATGAAACGAAAAACTTGAGAAAACCAGCAGAAAAAAAAAGAAAGAGAATGCGCAAAAGAAAACTCGCTCACAGTCCTATTCCCATACTTCACCCCAACACCTTTCAAATCAACAATGACGCGACCCACTTTCGCTTCATCCACGTTCTTTTCCGCATCAACTCTCGGACTAGGTGCAGTCTCCTCCTGCTTCTTATTCACACCACCTCG